GCTACGGTATTAGCAACGGTTAACCAATTCAATGCTGTCTCATTTAGAGTAATTAGCACCATATTAATGAATTCTGATACAAAAACTGTTGACAGAGCTTCTATTATTTCTGCTTGGATTGACATTGCTCAGGTTCTTTTTTTTTTTTTTTAAATCAGTTCATTTTAATTAGTGTTCGAATTGAATAATATTATTAGTTTTTTTTTTTTTTTTTATAAAGGAACTAAAAGTATTGAAAAACTTTTCATCATTAAAAGCAATAATTTCGGGGTTACAATCGAATCCTATATATAGACTCGAGAAAACATGGGCCGCACTTTCCAGGGATAAAGTTGAATTATTTGAAGAACTAGCTAGAATATTTAGTGAAGAAAATAATCAGTGGGCGCAAAGAGAATTACTCATTCGTGAGGGTACGGCAAAATTTGCAGATACCGTCGGACAAAATGATAAACATTTACAAAAAGTTTTTCAAAAAAGATTAAATAACGCAGGGGTATAAGATTTTCTTTTTTTTTCGGCCATTTAATTTAATTGATTATTAAATGAAAATTTAAAAAAAAAAAAAAATTTTCTTTGTATTTTAGACCATTAGTCACGGAACCATTCCGTATTTAGGAACATTTTTAACTGATTTAACAATGATTGACACAGCCATTCCTGACACGGTGGCTGAGGGCCTTATTAATTTCGACAAACGGCGTAAAGAATTTGAAGTTTTAGCACAAATCAAACTTCTTCAGGGTGCCGCCAACGCTTATAATATTCCTCAAGACCCGTTATTTAATTGTTGGTTTGAATCTCTTCTCGTGTTGGACGATCGAGAAGCATATCAGTTATCGTGTCAAATAGAGCCTCCTCCACCGGGTACCGCAAACATATCGACATTATCTAAATTTAAGAAAAAATCGGGCCATAAAAAAAATGATTCAATAGCAAGTACAGGGTCTAGTTCATCAAGTTCGCAATTTTATTACGATTTAGAAAGCATACCTTCTTCTCGTCATAATTCTTTAGATAGAAAGGTTAATAAATAAATGGTTAAAAGATTGTTGTTGTTTTTTTTAAAGGATTTATTTTCAATTTTTTTGTACCGTTTTAGTTATCATCATCTTCTAGTAATTCATCGCTTCCATCTTTAGATTTATCAGTGAGTAGTAGTAATCTTACGAATCAAAGTTCCGGAAACAAAAATCAAAATCAAACCACCAATAATGTGCCTGGTATAAATAAATTATCTTCGGATTTTTATATAATTCGAGTTACGATGGAAAACGATTTGGGAGCAACGGATGGTAATAATAATAATAATGGTTTATTTGATTGGATAAACCTATTTAAAAAATAATAATAATAATAATAATAATGATTTATTAATTCGACAGGTATCGTAATGTATAAAAGCATTATGCTAAGTAATAACGAAAGAACTCCTCAAGTAATAAGAAATGCAATGCTCAAATTATGCCTAGAAGGCAATCCAGATTCCTATACCTTAGCCCAAGTTTTGCCCGATAGAGGTATCTATATCAATTTTTAGGTATATTTTTTTAAAAAAATTTTTTAAATTATTACTTAAGTAAAAAATGTTGATTTTTCAGAAATGGTGCTTCCGCCGAATGCTAACGTTTACTATGCCGTAAATACAGCATTTAATTTAAATTTTATATTAAGACCAAAAAAAACTAGTGAAAAAAATGATAATAATGCTCAAAAATTTAAATTAATTAAAAAATAATGCCCATTAATAATAATAATAATAATAATAGAGCGAAGAAGAAGAAAAAGAAGAAGAAGAAGAAGTACCTGTTGATTTTGTGACTTAAATATACATACATATATATATATATATTTGTAAATAATATAGAGATTTTATTATTATTATTATTATTATTATTATAAAACGTATATAATAATGCCTTAATTTATTATTATTTTTAATTTTTTAAATGCAAAAAAAAAAAAAAATGAAAGCGTTGTGTTTAATTAATTAATTTTTTTTTTTTTTTTTTTTATAGAAAATTGTAGCCAATTTTTTTTTTTTTTAAATGAAACGTCCTTAATAACTAATATAACTAATTGTTTATAAAAAAAAATATATATATCTCGGTAAAAAAAAAAAAATGTTATTTATTATTTTAACAATAAAAAAAAAAAAAATTTTTTTAAAATTTGTTTGTGTTTGGATTTTGTTAAATTTTTTTTAAAAATATTTATTATACATAATTAGAGCTTTATTATATAAAATATAAATTTTTATAATTATTCGTTTTTATAAAATATTATTATTATTATTTGTTTCGAATCCAGGTTTAGTTTTTTTTTTTGTTAAAAAAAAATTTCGGTTAAAAGGTTTAATATTATTATTATTATTATTATTATTATTATTGTGCGTTAAATATTTGAATAAGAAAATATTTAAATTCGCATGCGCAGTAATTAATTCACTTGATGTTCGTTTTTTATTTTTGCCTGGTTGGTTCGCTCACTTTTTGTTAGAAAATATTGATTTTACGTTAAGTTATGACTTGGAACGTATAAAATGTCGTAATTTTTTTTTTATTTTTTTTTTTTAAATTTTTAAAACTGTTATTACTATTACTTTTTAACCGTTAATTACACTAAAAAAAAAAAAAACTAAAATAAGTGTTATTTAAATATTATATAACTTATAAATAATTTTTTTTATTTGTTAATAATATGCCTTGAATTAATGATATTAATTGTATTATATAGGCTGCAAAATTATTCGCAGCTTAAAAATATTCCGTTTTCATTCGTAAGTAAATAATTAATTATTAATAATTATTGTTATTTACATTATTTCAATGAGAATTTATATTAAATATTTCAATGTTTATTTATTACAAAACAAAAATTTAATTAATAATCTTACTTCATCGCATATTTAAAAAAAAAAAATGACTGTTACAAGTTTTTAAAATCATTTTCATTATTTTAAATAATACAAATACTTTTTTACAATTTATTATTATTATTATTATTATTATTATTATTATTATTATTATTATTTGATTCATGGAAAAGTATTAATTAAATTAATTATTATTGTTATTATAATTAGGAATTGAACAGAAGGTTTTCAACCTGTTTCAATATTAACACAAAACTTATTTTTATATATTTGTATGAAAAAAATTATATTTAAAATCATAAAATATTTATTTAATATATAATTGATTGAATTTGTAATTCTGATATTAAACTTAATGACACAAAATAATTATGGTAGAATTTTAAATAATAATAATAATAATAAAAACACTTTAGAATTTTATATATACAATTGTGCATTTAAATGTTATTGATCATTTTAAAATAATGGAATGAACAAGAATTAAAAATAATAATTTTATTTTATAAAACATAATTTAAAAGACAATTTATCATCTATTATTATTATTATTATTATTATTATTTGGTTTTCAATATGTCAAAATAACATTAAAACATAAAAAAGTTAATCATCATCATCATCATGTTGTTGTTGTTGTTACACTTTGATTTAAGTTAAAATTTTTTCTTTTTTTTTACATAATAATTGTATGTTTTTTTTTTTTTAATAAAGTTTTATGTATATATTAAAATTTAATTTAATAATAATTTATGTAACAACAGGAGATGTGACATCGGATGGCCGACGAAGAATTTGGAGACTTAAATTTAACTCAATATAGTTTAAGTGGGAGGTGGTCATCCAGAAATCCTAATTCTTCTTGGATGCGTTATTCACATGGGAGTTCACATTTGGACGGACTTAATACTGTTAGTAATGTCCCCGATAGATTTAGTACTTCAAAAACAAATTCTTATGACAATGAAAGTACTGCGAGTTTCTGCACAAGAACTCCGTCATCTGGTCAAAACCGGGGAAAATCAGGACTTTATTATTCCCCACCCGGTACGTCGTATACCATCATCGAAAGACCCGTGGCAACTACCTCAATCGGTCAACAATACACGGAAATGCAATCTGCTCAAAAATATTCTCCTGGTTATTCTCAAAGTCACATATTGTCACATTCTCCAAGATCTAAAGTTTCGGGTACTAAAAGACCGATTTCACCTGAAGATGTTTTGAATTTGTTTGGATCGACAACGGGTAAAGGAAAACCGAGCATAAGAAAATCTCAAAGCCCTATACGTAGCCCGTTGCCAACCGATCCTTATTTATATCAGAATACTCACGATGACGCCATTATAAAAACAGTTACTATGGTACGTCAACCTGAATCAAGTCACGGTTTTGGGATTTGCGTAAAAGGAGGAAAAAATTCAGGTTGTCATTTTTATTATTAATAAAATAAGTTTATTTATTCATTTTTTTAATTTTCATTCCTTTATTTATTTTAGATGAAGGAAGAGTTGGAGTGTACATAAGTAGAATAGAGGAAGGTAGTATAGCAGAAAGAGTTGGGTTAAAGCCCGGAGATTCTATTTTGGAAGTAAATGGAACTCCTTTTAATGCCATTAGTCACGAAGAGGCTTTAAAGGTATCATTAAAAAAAATTTTTATTTATATTTTTTTAAAGTTTTCTTTTTTTTTATTTAATTGATTAAAAATTATATTTAAAATATTTTAAGACTCTAAAATCTTGCACAAAATTAAGTATGACCGTTGAGAGTCAAAACGTTCTGCCTCCGCCATTACCCATTACTTCATCATCGAAAAACCTTCCTCCTGGAGGACCGTGGTTGGTCCGACAATCTTACTCATGGATGGATAGAGATGGACGTCCTGTTTCTCCACCTTTAGAATATGCTAGAGCTGCTCCTCCGACTGTCATTTCTCCAAGATGGGTCTATCAAAATAGACAAAAAGACGGTGCGGGAACGAGAAAAGTCGACATTAATATCGAAATGGGACAAAGTTTGGGTTTGATGATTAGAGGAGGTCTCGAATATAATTTAGGAATATTCATAACAGGAGTAGATAAAGATTCGGTGGCCGAAAGAGCTGGACTAATGGTTATATATAAACACATTTTTTGAAGAAAAGTTTTAATTTAAAAATTAATTTATTAAAATAGAATTTTTTTCTTTTTTTTTTCAGGTAGGAGATCAAATATTAGAAGTAAACGGTCAATCCTTTTTAGATGTCACACACGATGAAGCCGTTAATCAATTGAAAATTCATAAAAGAATGACTTTACTTGTAAAAGATGTTGGAAAAGTTCCTCATTCATGCACTGCTTATGACGATTACCACTGGCAGCCATGGTTTACCAAGTACTATATTGTAAATTTTATATTAACGTATTACAATAAATTTATGAATTATTTTTATTAATTGCAATTTTTATACACGCAGTTCATCTGAAACGGATCATTTATTCAGTGGAAAAGATTATTGTCCGGCTCTTCAAATGGTCGAAGAAAAAGCAAAAGTTTTATTAAGTAGAAACGAACTGTCAAGTCTATCTTATTATCAAGAAGAATATGCCACAAGACATATGACAATTGAGGCCTTTGTTACAGTGCTTTTAGAACTGCTTAATACCCCTGAAAAGGTTAGATCAAATTCTACACATACATTTTAACACAATACATAACTTTTATTAATTAATAATTATTAATTATTTTCAGCATAATTTACTAACAGAATTAAGAGAAGTTATTCTTCCTGAAGATAGAGTTCGATTCGATGATTTGGTTTATAGAAGAACATGTCACGATAGCGATAGACACAGTTGTAGGGTAAGTTTATTATTATTATTATTATTATTTTTTACGTTATCGAAAATAATATAAATGAGACGGGGGGAGGTGGGGGGGGTGGTGGGGGGAAAGAGAAAAGGAAAAAAAATTAAAAATAAAATTTTTATTAAAGGATGTTTTTTTTTTTTTTTTTACCTTGTAATAATGTATACGCTTACCGTATTTTTCTCATCCATTAAATAATTAATTATTTAAAAAAGTTTTTTTTTAAAACAAAAAAAAAATTTAACTTATTCCCCTTTTTTTTTGTTCGAAAGAATATTTTATATATAAAAAAAAATTATTTATTTTTTTTTTAATTAAAATAAAGGGAAAAGGCTGGGAACTTTTAACTCCTATAAAAACTTATCAGAATTTTCATGATGGGGGGGGTTAATATTTAATTTTTTAATTTTCAAAAACTTACGGGTCGTCCTTAAATTTATTTTACAAAAAAAAAAAAAAAAAAAAAAAAACGCTTTTGATGTCAAGCCTTATGAAAAAAAAAAAAAAAAAAAAAATATGATACTAATTTTTTTTTTTTGTTTAAAATTATAGTAGAAGCTTTTTGACTTTTATTTTAGCCAGATAAAATTTTTTTCTTTTATTTATATTTATTTATTTATTTAAATTAAAACATAAAAAACATTTTTCTCATTTTGGAAAACAAAAACAAAAAAAGAAAATTTTAACTGGCTTATTTTTTTTCTTATTGATTGCGCTCGATTGTGATTAATTGCACATAAATTATTATTATTATTATGATTTGATTGCACATTTTGAGCTTACTGTTGTTGGCATGTTTGTTTGTTTGTTTGTTTGTTTATCAATTTTTTTTTAATACGTAAATCAATCCTATAAAAAAAAAATTGATAATCGAAAGGAAAAATATTCGAATATCTTAATAATATCGAATACATTTATTAAAAACGACGACGTATCGAGTAATCGTTCATTTAAACCTTCTACATTTTATATAATAATAATAATAATAATAATAATAATAATGATTAAGAGAGGATATAAATCGTTTGATATATATAAATCGAATTATATTTTTGGTTTTTTTTTTTTTTTTAATTTTCTTTTCTCGTTATTAATTTTGTTTTGATTAAAAAAAAAAAACTCCTTTCAACTTATAAAAAAAAAATAACCTAATAAGTAACCTAATAAATTAATTTTATAATAAGTTGGTTACCAAAATGTTTTTTTTTTTTTATACGACATTGAATTTAATTTTTTTTTTTTTTTTTGTTAACATTGGGTTAAGGAAAGGGAAAATTTTTCTAGAAGTTTTCACGTGTTCGAAAAGGTCGTTTTGTTATTATAAGAATATTATGCGGTTTTAACGTTACCTTGTATTATTTATTTATTTATTTTTTTTTTTTTTGCTCTTCATATTAAATAATAGTTATTTATTTATTAATTTTTTTTTTTTCCCATCGAAACGAGTTTTTCCAATTTTTTTTTTCGACTGGTTTTATTATGAATCATGTAAATTGAAACCTGATAGGGAGGAATATAATATGAGTTTTATTTAATCATTTTAATGTCTCTCTCTCTTTTTTTTAATTAAAAATCTATTTATTAATATCGTTATTATTAATTACACTCTCGAATAAATTCGAAAAGAAAAACGGTTGAATATACATAATAATATTAATTTTAATAAAAAATAATTAATATTTTCAATTTTAATTGTATAAAAAATTTAATCGTTTTGTAAAAACACAATCAGGGCCATTAATTTAAACTCATTTTACAAAAACTTTTTTTTTATTTTTAAATATCACTAATTAAATTATTTATTTTAATTACTTTTAAACAAAAAAAAAAAAAAACGTTAAATATATTTTACTATTTAAGGTTTCAGTTCATTTAAAAAAAAAAAAAAAAAATTAAAAACAAAACGATAAATTACATCATCATAATAAGATTAACTTAATTTTTTTTTTTATTTAACTTTAATTATTCAAAAGACTATTTTTTATTTATTATTATTATTATTATTTATTATAAAAAAAAAAACTTTCTATTTATAATTATTATTTTTTATTCGTTTTAAACGCGTTAAAAGTATTTTTGTGGTCATTGTGAATGTAAGTTATAATAACATACTTTTCACCGATATACAAATTATAACGAATAAATATTATTATTATTATTATTATTATATAATGGCGAACAATTAAAACGTTCTTATATATATATATATATAAAATAGTTTATATTATTATAAATGAATATCGATTTCATAATAAATGTTGTTGTTGTTACCTTTAGTCAGGCCACGACATTGTTATGAAAGAATTATTGGGGTCTAGTTCTACTTTGTGATGAGTTGTAATGAATGAACACAAATGCGCACACGCACACACACACACACACACACTTATAATACCACACAATGAACACATAATAATAAAGGATGACATTTGGATAGAGAACAACAAACACTTTTTCTTTTTAATTTGAAGAAAAAATTAAAACCATGTTCTGTTCATGTTTAATTTGGTCTGAAATCATTCAAACTAATAATAATAATAATAATAATAATCATTTGAATTAGGTGTGACTGGTATTAGGGGGGAGGTTGGGGGTGGAATGGGGAGGCGTGTACAGAGTGTGAGTTGCTGTTGTTGTTGTTCTTTTTTAAACGGATAATTATTTGAAAATATTACAAAAAAATTAACGATATTTTTTTATTTATTTAAAAATTAAGGTAATTAATAATTGATTTATTAACACTTTTATTAGCTTAATTTTTCTTTTACTCTATTAGTTATTATTATTTTCTTTCTTTCTTACTTAAAATCACACGTAGATTTTTTTAATACTTATAAATTTCATAATAATTTTTCTTTTTTTTTTTGCTTTACTTTAAAAAAAGTTTATCATATTTTATTTATTGTGAGGCTTATGGCATCGAAGGCGGTGGTAATATGATGAAATATACGGTCAAGTCGTAAAAATACGTGAAAATCTGGGGGGGGGGAGACAAATTATCCAAGATTTTAGTAGAAAGTTGGTTTTACAGAACGAATATTTTGGCTCATCAAGACCATCTAAGATACCCGTACTGGCCGAAGGACTACCGTTGGACGGAGAAGAATATAATACTCCCAGTGAAGATTCCGGGGTGTGCTTAGGGGATGGACGAACGAACGAGAGGTGGGTTCATTCACATAAAACGAAAAATAATTTAAAAATTTTCACATAAAACTTTTGGCCAATTTTCACTTCCCTTAAAAAAATTCTCGTATTCGAAGGAAGGAAGGAAGGAAGACGCGAAAAGGACGCGATATTAAGGATATTTTTTGTACAAAATCAAACTTTTTAAAATAAGAAATTTTTTAAATTATATTTTATTAGATGAACAAACAAACAAACAAACAAACAGAAAAAAAAAGAAATTAAAAATAAAATTTCAGGGCAAATTGGATAGCGGCAACATCTCCTTCTATATACAGAAAGCAAACATCAGATTTAGCTTTATCAAATGGAGAAAATACAAATTTAAGTCAGGTATTGTAAACCACTTCTAATTTCCCTTAATTACAACTAATTAATAATAATAATAATAATAATAATAATAATAAAAGGCTACGAATTATAAATACAAAAAAATTAAATAGGTTGTTATAACGGTTATATCTATTTATTTAAAATTTTTTAGTCGTAAGGTTGGTACCCATTGATAACGGTCATAATTTATCTTGTAATTCTCTTCTTAAATCTTCTGTTGCTTTAACTATATTTCTCGATGTTAAAAATGCTGCAGCAGTTCTTTTATCTTCTTTATTTTGATCGTCGTAATAATCTTTTGGTGGTTCCATCGGGTACTTACCGGAAAATTTTGGACGGGGTATTTTCATTTTTTTCACGTCTAGTAACCAAGATTCCATTATCTATAAATTTATATTTAAAAAAAATATAGCTGAGAGGTTATTATTAATAATAATAATAATAATTTGGTCTTCACTGAATATAATTGGATACCATAATGGCACAATTTCTTTTTTTCTTTTTTTTGGCATACCAAATAATTATTCATTGCACGCTTTAATCAACCAATCACAAGACAAAATTTTATTTTTTTATTTTTTTTCGTGATCTCCACAACCTACCGACGTACCTAAAATGAGATTCTAATGAGTTTTTTTTAGTTCGTTTGGTAACCCGGTATCCTATTTAATTACTATTTATTTGCCTAAATATAATAATAATAATAATATTTGACGATACGATTGAAATTTTACATTAAAAATATCACACATAGACACACACACACACAGAAAATTATTTTTTAATATTTTTTGCATTTGATAAAAATCTGGGTAGGAGTGGGTGGGGTGGGGGAGGAGGAAGAGGAGGAGGGAAAATCTCACCGTTTTCTATTATTTATTTATTTATTTATTTATTTATTCTGAACAATTTTTTTTTATTAATATTTAAAAGACAATAATTTCATTTTTCAAGCTTCGTAAAAAAATTTCCTTCCGGTTTACATTATTATTATTATTATTTTTTCGATTATCATTATTATTATTTTAGATTTTGTTTCGTTTGTTTTTTTTTTTTACTTTCTTTAAGGAAAAAATTAAAAATTTTAATTTCGGATTGTTTATTTTATTTAACAAAAAAAGAAAATAAATTTTTTACATAATTAAAATATTCAGGCGAAAATTTATAAAATTTTTCGCATACGTGGGGGGGGGAGGAATAAGAGGGAGCGGGCGGAGGGGGTTTAAATAAAGAGAAAATAAAATAAGTTTATTTTGAAGTACGTATATATATATATATAAATAGATTAATTTGTTTTCGTGTAATTTAAAGTCACGTTGATGGAGAAAGTTTTATTATATGAATAAGCTTTCAAACCGGAATACTGTTATTTTTTTATAAATAAAATGACGTTCACGTTATGGTTAATCAAGGATACTATTAAAAATAATAATAATAATAATAATAAAGTAGCTTCGTTGTTTTTAAAAAAAAAAAAAAGAAAGAAAAGAAAGAGATAT